GAACTGAAAGTGAAACTGCTTGTGTTTTGCTTGTATTTACTGATACCATGGAAAACTTGTTTTTGGTAATGTATTGTATATTACTATTTTGAATCCTGCTGAATCAGTTACTGTGCTTTCTGAATGTGATTGCTGCTGCAAACTCTGACCAGCCAGGTCATCTTCAGCAGGGATTGCCACAGACCATCGTTGCCTCCATGCCTCATGTTTTTGGCCTCTGGTGAGGATGGGCAGGGCTACATTCAGTGTACAAGACACACCCAAAATTTCACCCTCTTTGGGGGGGGGGGGAAGGTGTGTCTTATACTCCGAAAAATGCAGTATCCCTGGACTCAGGAGTCCCAACAATCCAGAGCCACTTGCTAGGGCTGAGTTGAAACTGGCTCTTTCCCATCCAAACCCTAGCAGCTAGCAGGTACTGGGCCAAAAGCAGGATAGTATCACTTACATAGCAAGGAATAAAGATGTATAATTAGGCATCCTCAGCATATTGACACTGCACCTGTGAGATTAGAATGAAGCTGCCATAACTAATCATAAAACAGGTGCAAAAGCAGAGAAGACAAAAGCCAGGAATCTTATCTAAAATATTCCTTCAAGAAAGTAGATAAGAAATGAAGTCATTAAGAAAACAAAGGAAAGATGTCACCTGAACAAGTCACAGAAAGTTGGCCCTGGGCCATGAAAAAAGATACAATCCCAGCTGACCAACAAAGCAAGGACTCTGGGGAATAAAAAGAGATCCAAGCCTATTCCTAAAGTCTTCTTTGGATTCAGACTTGGCAGCCTTGTTTAAAAGGATGTTGGTGTGTGTGTGTGAAGAGGAGAATGTTATACATTACAGCCAGTAAATTTTCCTTTACTTTAACCGTGTATCTGTGTATTCCAAAGAACATGTTGTGCCTCAGAGTTTGCCTGGAAGTGATTTCTGTGAGTCCCTAGTTATTTTCTGGCTGTTGAACAAGGATATGTGCCTTATCTACTGCAGTTACATCTATCTGGAAAACTAACAGGAAGCAAGGGAGGGGGAGGCTTGCAAGATCTGCATGTAACACACTACAATATCAGATGACCCTTCCTGGCCTCTTGAGATGATATATATCATTACCTCCTTCAAGGCCAGCAGCACCAGCTGTTTCCATGATTAATGATC